ACGGAGACTGTTTGGGAGCTCCTGATTGAAAGGTTGGACGGCCACATGCCGCCTATGCCACAAAACTCCGACTCTGGACCAGTGCAGGGCGCACATTCTCAGCGCAACGCACCAGAGACGCGTGAAGTACGCGGGGCTCGCGACTTGGCAGCAGTTCTGTCCTTTTGACACGATGGCCTTATGAGGAGCATAAATTGGTTCCGGGTCTGGCTGTTGCATTCAGAGCGTCAAGCTTCTGATGGATACCAGAATGATGTCTCTGCATGGTCGTGCGGCCGGCTATGGTGTTGTGGCGAAGAATTCGCAAGGAATATGAATAGCTTGATGTATGCTTGTTTGCCTAAAGCAAAGATGGTTCCAAAAAGCAGGGGCGAACATGGTCATGAACTCCTATCCGGTAGCAACCTGAGTTGTGCCAAAACCAAAGCTAAGGACCCTCTGTCGCACCTACCCGACGATCAGCTCGAATTCGCGGTCGTGGAGAACAACACTGCGATTTGCAGTCTATGTGGAAAACAGATGCAAGAATCGCATCTGTATTCCAAGGAGCATCAAAAAAGGGTGATGCTCCTTGGCTTTGGCCAGTTTGCTTTGTCATTATGGTGTGTGTGTGTGTGTGTCTTGCATGCATGCATGGAACCGTATGTGGTGTGACACCACCGCAGGCGAACAAGAGCCAAAGCCCTGCGACCAATTGCAGTGCAGGCGGGCATGCTGGCATACTGCATGTTGCCGATCAGGTCTGACTGATACAATTTCGATGATGAATTGCTTCTTTGCGATCTGGACAGTGATTTTCACAAGATCAGCACGCAGACCTGGGAAATGTAACTTGCATGCAGTAGTTGAGTTGGTAACTCAAAACCGTTGCGCCACAGGAGATGCCACAGACCGAACGGTGGCTTGCTTTGGGTCCTGCAGCTCGAACGGGACAAGCTGAATTTGCACCGAGTCCGCCTGCGGACCAGGACAGAATCGCCAATGTCCTTGTTTCATGAAGCAAATATTGACGACGCAGCTGTATTGCGCGGGTGGTCAAGACATCCGGACATCGGATAGGAACCTCCGCACGGCCTGCAGAACGAGATTAACGCCAATCGAGAGGCACGTGCTACATTCCCAGTCAAGCCCGAGTTTTCTAAATACAATTTTTTTTCGTTGGTGGGCAGCAATGTGGTGCTGTTTATGAAGCAAAAGATATTGTAGCTGCTGGTCGTAGCTCCGGGCCATGCGGGTTTTGTCGGCTGAAGGACCCTGCTTTCGCCCGCAATCTCAAGCCGCAGGTGTTGCGGCTGTTGCGGTTGCGAACGTCGCCACAAGGATGGCAGGAGCCCGGCTGACTACAACCGCACGTTTCCGATGGCTGGTGATATCTTGAAACGCCACGCCAAGATTGGACGTTGAGATGCATGAATAGTTTGATGTGTTATTGCCATGTGGCGACGTATCGAAAAATAGGCTAGGCAATAGGAGCATCGGAGTACTTAAATAGTCGGTTGGGAAGTCGTGTTGGCAGATTTACTGTGCGGTCGGGTCGTGGTTTCATGGTGTGACGGCGACGATTGCGACTGCTACCGCTACTTTCTCTACCAAGTTAGTGCTAGTACTTTCAAAGGTGGTGGTTTCGATTGCTGCACGTGTTTTCAAGAGCAGCAAGAGCAGCAAGCATCAGGGCGAAGAGTAGCGGGAGACGTGTCTGTTTGGAATAGCTTGCTAGTGGTGTTCGAGGTGGTAGAGTCCCGGTAGAGCTTGAATAGTACTACATGCAGTGGATGCGAAGCAGTGTTTTTAATGATTACCCCTACGAAAACTCTGTTCAGCATCAGCATCAACTCCCAGTTGAACCTAATCATGTTGATGCAGACGTTGTTCGTTGATCGTATCTTGAACAGGAGCTGGACAGACGTGCTTCCGTCGTTGGCCCAGAAAGAGCAAGCTGCGCAAACAAAGTATGTGCTGCAACATGAACTCGCAAGGTCTGAAAACCGATCTCATTCCCATTGTCAGTGACATTGCACAAGCTGGATGATGGAGCAGTCAGTATGGTCAACTTTACACTGTTGATTCATTTATGGCATACTTCATGATGATCTGTTTTGCAAGGCGTGGCTACGGACAACACCTCCGAGGTGGAGCAGTGAGGCGATCGACTACTAGGTCGAATCTAAATAGCTTCGTCTGGGTCAGATTGTACCAGTTGCCCTGCTGCATGAAAGCCAGAATTCAGAAACAGGTGTTGGTTGTGGCATTTTGTGGCAGCAAAAAAGCACAATCTTGTTGGATCATGGGATGCATAGGTACTTCCGCAGCGGGGCGGCGCTTTCAGCTGTATTTGTTGTATTGCCTTTAAGTTTGCCTGTGTAGTTTGTGGTTCATGTCTGTTGTTGCGGTTGCCCGTATCATTATCACAGGAAGATGGTTGGGTCTAACTTCCCCACGGCGAACTGCGGCGCAATTTTTTTTTTACGCGTGCGCCTTCCTTTCTCACCCCGCTGCGAGAACCTCGCATGTCTCACTTAGCTGCCAGAACCTTGCCGGGCTTGACGTCAAAATCATGCCGATCACGCGACCGTCTCGAAATACAACCAAACGGGGGAAAATGCAACCACACGGTGGAAAACACAACTGGCCATTGCGGTGTCTTGATAAGTTTGGACATTCTCTGCGGAAAATCCGGGGTACAGCCTTATGGTTCCAGCACCAAAGCTAGATAAAATAGTTGTGATTCGCCCCATTTCTTTGCGCCCTGGCACGAATGAGGTCTTAGCACGATTATTTCGGTATGTTTTCGGTCATGCATGTGCGAAAGACATGTAGGCAATACTTAACATGTTTAGTTCGGTCTGTATGCTTTCAGTCATGTAGGTACGAACGGCATGTAGGCAATAATTAACATAATTATTTCGGCTTGTATGCTGTCGGTCATGTAGGCACCGAAGATGTAGGCGCGAAAAGCATGTAGGCAATACGTAACATGATTATTTCAGTATGTATGCTCTCGGTCATGCAGGTGCGAACGGCATGTAGGCAATACTTAGCATGGTTATTTCGGTTTGTATGCTTTCGGTCATGTAGGTACGAACGAACGGCATGTACGCAATATGTAACATGTATGTTTCGGTGCGTGTGCTTTCGGTCATGTAGGTACGAGCAGCATGTATGCAATACTTAACATGCTCATTTCGGTTTGTATGTTTTCGGACATGTAGGTACCAATCGCATGTGGGCAATACTTCACATGCTTATTTAAGTTTGCATGCTTTCGGTCATGTAGGCACGAACGGCATGTAGGCAATACTTAACATGCTTATTTCGGTTTGTATGCTTTCAGTCATGTAGGCACGAACGGCATGAAGGCAATGAGTGCTTTTGGTCATGTAGGCAGGAGCGGCATGTAGGCAATACATAACATGTTGATTTCGGTTTGTATGCTTTCGGTCATGTAGGTACGATCGGCATGTAGGCATTACTTAACATTGTTATTTCGGTTTGTATGCTTTTGTTCATGTAGGTATGAACGGCATGTAGGCAGTACTTGATATACTTATTTTGGTTTGTATGCTTTCGGTCATGTAGGTACGAAAGGCATGTAGGCAATTCTTAACATGATTGCCGGTATGTATGCCAGAACTTAACATGATTATTTCGGTGTGCATGCTGTCGGTCATGTAGGTACGAACGGCATGTAGGCAATAATTAACATAATTATTTCGGCTTGTATGCTGTCGGTCATGTAGGTACCGAAGATGTAGGCGCGAAAAACATGTAGGCAATACTTAACATGATTATTCCAGTATGCATGCTTTCAGTCATGCAGGTCCGCACGGCATGTAGGCAATAATTAACATGATTATTTCGGTTTGTATGCTTTTGGTCATGCATGTCCGAACGAACGGCATGTACGCAATATGTAACATGCATGTTTCGGTGCATGTGCTTTCGGTCATGTAGGCACGAACGGCATGTAGGCAATATTTAGCATGCTTATTTCGGTTTGTATGCTTTCGGTCATGTAGGTACGACCCGCATGTGCGCAACACTTAAACATGCTTATTTCGGTTTGTATGCTGTCGGTCATGTGCGTACGAAAGATGTAGACACGAATGACATGTAAGCAATATTTAACATGCTCATGTCGGTTTGTATGCTGTCGGTCATGTAAGTACGAACGGCATGTGGGCAATACTTCACATGCTTATTTCCGTTTGTATGCTTTCAGTCATGTAGGTACGAACAGCATGTAGGCAATACTTAACATGTTTATTTCGGCTTGTATGCTTTCGGGCATGTAGGTACAATCGCATGTGGCCAAAACTTAACATGATTATTTCGGTTTGTATGCTTTCGGTCATGTAGGCAAGAACGGCATGTAGGCAATACTTAACGTGCTTATTTCGGTTTGTATGCTTTCGGTCATGTAGGTACAACGGCATGTCGGCAACCAGATGATGCAGGGAAGTTGTCATGGAATCTTTTTACATCCCACTTTCAACAATCCCACTCCCCAACTGCTCAACAAAACTCATAGACCCTCGGACCAAAGGCCCCAGTTGCATTATCACCCGTCTGGTTGTGTTTTCACCCTTCTAAGCCAAGTTCTGGACTTGTAGAGATTTGAGTTGTATTCGTACCCATCTGGTTGTATTTACACCCATCCAGTTGTCATTCGCCTTACTCCCGGGCGGTCAGATGAGAGAGAATGTTTCAAGATGTTATTGGATTGTGGTGGGGTATTATGGAGACTTGTTGGCTTCAATACAATGCTCCAGCAGGCTGTTCGAAGACTCATTCAGCATGCCAAAGAAGAAGTGCAGTTTATGCACCCACGCTGTTTCAGAGCTGTTAACGGCACAGAATCAAACAAGGCCCTTTACTACGCGTAGTACGTTGACCGAAAATGCCGCTTCGATGCCAAACTGAGCTTGAGCGCTGGCACCGCCAGCTATCGAAGCGCGCCGACCATCCGAATGCCGGTTTCCTGGCGGATGCAGACCGAGAAGTCGCTTATCAAGTGTGTGTCGGTTTTGTGCACCATGTTTTGCCGTATCGAGTTACACACAAGTCTCCTAATTAAGCTTATAAACATGGACATGAGTTTTGCGTATTGGTTTGCTAGTGTGAAGCCTAACAACAGCAGGCCAGGGTGCCGTCTCCACGTCAGCGTGCGAACGTTGTTGTGGGCGTGGTGCTGGCGGGATGCACTGTGGTGGAGACTGAGGCTGCGCGAAAGACACCCCGAATCAAATAGCGACTCGGTTCTTTATGCCGAAAGCCGGGGAGATCAGGAGGCATGTAAATTTTCATTTTTGCCGAGGATGTCGCCATGCAGCTGGCGAGAACAGTATCTGCATTGCGATCTGAACCAGATGGGTCTGGTGCTTGTCTGGCGTTTGCTCGAAAGAGACACGTCCTTGCTCACAAAAACTTGGAAAACTCATGAGGCCAGAGTTGTATCGCCTCAACGATGCCGCAAACGAGCTCATGCGAATGCTGCCTGTGACGCATAGCACGAGGAAGGGTGGTCACTGCTCACCCTTGGGCGTAGCCATGGTTTTCAGCGGCCTTGAGCCATGGTTTCCGTTTTCCTTTTTCCATCTCTCTTGGGAGGTTTCTGCATGCTATCTTGAGGAGCATTCAAACTTGACACAAAGCCTTTTCCATTGCCGTGTGCGACAGGAGAGCGGCGGCTCGCGAAGGCTTGGTCCTTCCCGGACGCCCGAACTATCGGTACTTTGGACGATGCGCAGAGCTCCGCTATGTGGTCGAAGCAGCCCCTTGACCTTGTTCTCAGGTTTCGCGGTTAGTCCCTTTAAACACGAGATTTCAACTGCATGTGCCATTGGCCAGTGTTTTTTCCGCTCTTCGTTTTCATCCCGCTTAACTGCCATTCAGAAGTCCTTTCTGTGCTTTCTTAGACATATTAGACTGTCTTAGAGTAAGGCTGCAACGGTGCAGTTTTGAATTTGTATTCAACTTGGAGTCCGCAACTTTTCTTGTCGATGGTCTGCAAGGCTTTGGTTACGGAGCTCACCCACCAAGCCTCATTCCAAGCTGGAACGAGGTACAAAGTTTACATGCTGAGAAGACAGAGGAACCAGAGCTTGCGGAAGAAATTGCCATGGCTGAGGTGGCGGCCCTATTGTGATTGTGCAAATTTGTTCTGTTTTTGTCCGGTGCCTGCCGCGTCACACTTTCTGCATAACTCGCACGTTGCCGCAGGCTGCAGTGCCTTCAGCGATTTCAACAAAGCAGAACGGCGGTGTTTTGCCTACAGGTAAATGCAGATCTTAGAGACGATGCTAGCGGCTATTCTGGTAACGCCACTTTCTGTTTTGACCTTTTGTCCGAAATTCTGCAAAGCCAAGGTTTGACCGTGCAGTTGCTTGCCAGGACCGCCGCGCTTGTGCTGTACTGCTTGTGTGGTATCGCTGAAGATGCTTGAACAGTACTCGCGTCCGGTCCTGTGTGGGCCGCGTGATGGGCTCTTTCGTTTTGGAGGCATTTGTTAGTTCAGCTAGGGCATATTGGAAGCAATGTGTGGCTCAAGCCCAAGCCAACATGGCTGCAAGAGCAGCTTCTTCTCAGCATACGCCAAGCTCCCAGTTGAAGCCATTCTTGTGTACATCCAGCTTGCGCGAGTCTCGGCAGCACGGATTCCAAGCCAAGGATAGCGAACCGCACAGAGGAAATAGAAGATCCGATGGAGACGTCACAGGTCCCGACCACAATGACTCAGTGCAAATAGGAGTCAACTCTAGCAGAACAGCAGCTTGCCAATGTCCCAGGCCCCGTCTCAAAGGAACAGCTTCCAAATACTGGTGGTGTCCGCCTCGGCCACGAGTTCCGCACAATGCATCGGTAACATAACACTCTGATTTCCGCCTGCAAGGCCCTGGGAAGCATCGTTCCCTGGACTCTGGTTGCCTCCATAGGCTGAAACTGTGCGGACATGGAGAGGAGAGAGCGATCCTATCGGACACGACATGTAGGCAGCGGCATGCTGACACCTCTCAGAACCTTGGCCCAACTGTTTAGCTGCACTGTCAATGGATCCCCTTTCGTAGCGCTCCTGTTCGCGTTTGGGCGAGTTTCGTGCTTTCACCGAGGCACATATGTCAGCTTGAACTTCTTCGCACAAAGGCACACGGACATCCCTCCACAAGAGCTTACATGTCAGATTGACATGAGCAGCTCGGCCTGTTATGTCGGGTTGTGTCGCCATCGAAGTCGAAGGCTCTTGTGCTCACGCAGTTGCCAATCGAAAGGCCCCCAACACTGCCAACTGGCACTGGTGGATGGCAACCGGCTGGTGACTGTGTGGCTTGCATAAACCAGGTTCCCGCAACACGTCAACATACTCCGCCCCCCTCCCCCGTTTGATCACGAGGTTGGCTTTCATCATGCCCCTGTGCCAATTTGTCACACTGTGCCTTGGAAGAAACCTTCTCGGTGCTTGCTTCCTTTGGGTTGGAAACTTGGCGAGCATGCTCCAGGCCATTGGTTGGCGTTATAAGCGATGCTTATGGCCGCAAGAAGACGATTTTAGTAGCCGCTTGGTGAAATGGCACTTTTTGAAGTCGCCACGTGCAAGAGGTTCTTGCAGTAAATTGTGCCGACCATGTGCATCAGCTGGCCTTTGTATCATTGTCTTGGCCATCTCATTGTACAGGTACTCGTAAGTGGTCATATGCAGTTCAACCCGATCCCAGGTCTACTGCCTCTCGAATGTAACTTTGATATTCACCGATCTGCACTTCGGCTGCAACATTTTCTCTCAACAGAGAGGTCGGATATGGGACTGTGCGCTCCGTGACATTTTTATCTGTGCATCTCATCCTCTTCTCAAGTTCATTCGTGCAACAAGTAAAGGCCTCCTCATCTCAAGAATGCGCTTGTGTTCAATGCTCGCCCCTGTTGCGTTCTCAGGTTCGTATTCTTCAATGTCTCTTATTGGTTTGCGATTGCCGCTGCCTCAAGATGCCGACTTACCAACAGTTCCTCTCTGACAGTTCCTGGCGAAGCTTGGGCCCCACCATCGCCCAGGCGCTGAACCCATTCCTGAATGCCCAGGCCAGACCTCAGAAGTTCGAGGGAAGTTTAGGGCTTCGGGACGTCAAAGGTGTGCAACGTGCCGAAGGCAGATCATACAAATGAACGCAGGTACGGAGGGAGAAGATCAGTCGTGCTGGTGTGGGCACAGGCACTAGTCCCGATGCTGGCGGGGTGCGACTCCTGCCCGCGACGGTAGAAGAAGAATTACGCGCATGCCTCGACTGCCACGACAAGTCTCCCCGGGGGGCCAGAAGGGGTTAGGTCAGGTTATGTGCCATCACATTGGAATCACAGCTCCTCGTATTTGGAACGGTTCTTTAATTCGCACACCCTGCCCATGCGTCAGAATTATTCGTCGGCCCCGTGCTCTGCTTTCGTCTCGCGCCCAGGGCTCGCAATGTTCCAGTCAAGTTCGGTCCGAACAATGCAGCGAAGGGCGGACCTCGGAGTGTTCCTGTTCCAACTGCCTCCAAGTGCCAAACCCTGAGACGGGGCTAATGCCGGCTCGCTCCTAAACCATCGGAAAGGGTCGGATGGACGGAGAGCTTTAGGCGGTTGGGACGCCAAGCGAAATATGGACGTGACATGCCTCTGTTTCGACAGTGCTCCTTTCATGTGCGTGCGATGTTTGAAAAGTCGTGCAACGCCTTGTGTCCTGCAGCTTGTCACCACCGTTCTGAACTCCACGTGCGTGGACCTGTTGGCAAGCCACGAGAGATCAGCAGGCCGGAATAGCCGAGTGCAGCCAGATCAGTCCGCAAGCGGAACCAGAAAGAGCTCTTTGACTTTGTGGCAGGAATCGCTCTCATCTCTTCGATGGACACCGTGGCGTATGTGATAGGCGTCCGTTCGAGAAAGCTGCGTGACAGAGCATGTCGGCGACAAAGAGCATCAGCAAGCACGCAGCAGGCTTGCTGGTGGGAATGCATTTTACCTTGCATCAGACCTTTCTGATTGCAAGTTGCCGCCTGGACGCAATGTGACGGGTCGTCTTGCAGAAGTGGTAGAGGACAAAGGAGATTCATCGTATCTCCCACTCTTGGTATTACATCTCCGCACAAGGTCGAGTGGTTGGTATTGTGGCCGGCCTGTCTCCGCTCGAACCAAGGCATTGTTCCCTGTTGCATCCTTTGGTGCATCTTCGTTTTTCCGGAAACGCTGCCTCCGGAAAAGCGCTCGCTGTCCATCAACTATCGTGCAGGACTTACACGTTTGATATATATTTTGGAGTTGTTCGTGGGAAAGGCAAGCACAGATGCCAAGGAAGTCTCTTGCCATGGGATCCGCTACCGATTTTGCGTCTGGGTTGCAGCCAGGACTGGACCGTCCTATGCGTACCCTGTAAAGGTCCACGGAGTGTCAGCAAGATTCAACAAGTAGTAACAGTGGACATGTGTTCGCTCCATCGAATCGGGGCTTCCTGTAGGCTCTGTAAGCTGACAGATGCAGGGGTACACATTCTCAGGGAGATTCCTGACACTTTTCTAGAGGTGGCGAACCAACACGCTGGCGCGTTTGTCGCTTGCCACCGCGATCGCAGCATTTGTGGATGAAAGCAGCTCCCGGATGATGGGGACCTATTACCAGACCCTCGGCAACACTGGGGTGCCTTATATTCGTTTCTTTCTGGCTTGCTTGTCACAACATTCTGCACTGCAGTTTCCAGTTGCTATCCCACTTTTCCAAGGCGCGTGATGAACTGGACGGCGCAGGACTGGGCTTCGCACGGCTTCCTTCATTGAGCAAAATTCGTTAAGTCGCAGGCAATAGAACATCGACAGTTTAACGGCTTGAAGCTGAAAGAACTCGTGACTGGTGGAAGGGCGCTCAAAAAGCATAGCCTGTAGTTTGTTGGGCTGACGTGATATAGCAGGCCATAGCAGGCCTAGACTCGCGAAAGAAGTCGCAGCAGTCTTATTGCAGTTAGCGGTTGTGGAGAGATGTAAGCAGCTGCAGAAGTCTGACTTACTTGCAGATCCTAGATGCATTGGTGAGGACAGCTACTGGTTCGAGACATACTGGGACTTCAGCATGATTGTCCCTCGAGCTGCGAAATGCCAGTCTTGCGAACTCCTTTGGAACCCTTTGCGCCGAAGCCCGGCCTGCGCGGGTGGACAGAGGAGTATGGGAATATCTGTTTCAAGCGATACCTGTCTTTGCTAGAAGAAGGCACCGCCGCGCGTGCGTGTTTGTGTTGCCCAGGTATGGTTGACCTTCATTTTCGGCCTTCTTGCTGCCCGGCCGCAGCAGTGCTGTGGACCTTCTCAAGATGTCTCTGCCTTCAGCCTACCGGGACATGAGAGTTCCCAACTTTGACTGCCATCATCTTTGCACATGTGCCCATCTCCTTCCCAGGAGTTTTTCAGGGCAGCATGCGATCTGGACCATGCCGTTTATTGCCCATCAGCCATCTTCGCACGTTTGAATTTCGATTGCGATCACTCAGCCACTCACATACTAGCCCCCAGTCCCAGCGGCGCGAATTAACTGCCAAAGCAGAATCGAGGATCACGCGCGCTTCCAGGGGATCTGAGCAAAACGCAGCCATGCAGGTGATCTACATCGGGGAGATTGGAACCATGGCCTTTGGCCGACTCGTAGGTCGCCAAGAAGAAATTCAGAGTTCGCTGGGTTTCTTCGGCGACCGGAGGTTTAGGAAAGATGCTTTGACAGAAATGGTCACGCCGACGTGCTTGTTGAACATCTCTATGCCCACGTTCATTGGATGCAGCACTGGCTCAGGCAGCGTCTACGTCTTCATTGCAGCAGCTTGATTGGTCAAAGATGTTTGTTGATGACCCAAGTCATTTGTGCGTGTGTGTCTCTGTGTGTGCACATGTCGGTGCACCTCATTCTTTTGTTCATGTTGCTCTTCGGGCTGTTGAAAGCATCTTGCATGCCCGGTGGCACAAGGTCTTCATCAGAAAGCCTTCACTGGCCAGACACTTGAGTCCTTCAGGACGTCTCTTTTACAATCGCAGTCTGCCACTGCCAGCCTTAGTTATTGCAGGCTTGTGCTTGAAATGCCGAGGCAATGATCAACTGCCTCATCTGTGCAGGCGGGACCATGGCCCTCTTCTACTCAGACTCAGTTCTACTTTTTCTTCTGGGGTTTCGTTCAAAGCTTTCGAGTCGAGAGACCTCAGGGCCGATGACCTTCGCTTTGCCAGCAGTGGCTGGGTTGAAGAGCCGGCTCGTCAATGAGAGCGAGCAGGGCCGAATGCAGGCGGCGATCAGCACGGCCGCTAAGCTGAGACCACAGCAGCCAGCGGCCTTGTTTGCTCCTGCGGCCGCCTGAGGTCTACATTGTCTCCGGGAGCTTCGGGTGCCCTGCGAGCATGAAGCCTGCCAGACGTCTGTGCGCGTAGGGCATGTAGGGCCTTCGACCTTGGACTTTAGACACGAGATAGATGGGGACGATGCTGCTAGAGGTACATGAGGTACTTCACACGTCTGTTCGAATTATTTTTCCAGCTCAGGTCCATACTGGGTGGATTTATCTTCGAGGCATTCGGCAATGTCAATGCCCAGGGAACTTTTGACAAGATGTACCTCGTGGCACTGTTTCTCGTTGTGCTGAACATTGCAGGAATGTATCTCGCTTGCAGGAGTGCAGGAGTCCGTTTGTTCCTAAAGCTTCTTGCATGTGCTGTCATAGCCTTGAGGCTGGTATCTTTTGCGTTGTTCTACGACCTGTTTGGAAGAGTCTTGGTGGAACAGCAAGCCGCGCTCCTGAGCCCTGATATTCCTGATTTCCTCTGACGCAGACACCAAAGATCCGTGACACCTGAACACCAGTCAGAGCTGCAACCCACAAAATTGGCAGAGCTTCAAACGTCAGACCAAGGAACTCACCACCTCATGGACGAGCGCGCCAGACAGTTTTTTCCCAGCATGAAGCGACAGTTGTCAGAAGACACAATGCTGGCCGCAGGGCTCGAGAATAGCCCTGAGACTCAGACAACGTATGGAAGCACTAGCGCGGCTTAGCTTGTTGAGACGACATGCTGATCGGCGCTACGTGGGCCAAGAAAAGTTGTCTGCCTGGGCATGCAGGACATGCTGGATGATGCATTTTTCTAGTTCCCTTGCAGACCGAGCTTATACAGGAGCTACTGCACGGATTCACGCACCCAGCGACGCCACCCGCGAACCTACCCACACACCCACTATCTTGAGCCCAAAGGCGGAGGTCTGCAAAGTGGATGAATATAAATAATCAATAGCTTGAGTAATTAATGGGCATAAGACGCTTTATCAACACACGCGTTTCAGGGTCCATCGGTGCAGGTCGGCCTTCGGATCGCTTCGATGGCGTCGAGCCGTGCGTCTGGGCACCTGGTGCATCCCTCCCTTTGTTTTTGTGACATGTACCAAAAACATGGGGCTCGGCATGCACGGCAACAGTATTGCAGAAGTACTGTATGCGGTACTGATGTATAAAGGGACAGCGATATGCTAATCGTTACTCCGTGATGATGGACTTTGACTAGCAATATGTATTGTGGCTCTTGAAACTGCTGAATGTCCACATTGATGTAGCTGTGTCTGACACTGTTACATATTCATTGACACGTATCAGTGCAGCTATCGTCGTTCCACTTCGGCGGATGTTTTTATTCCCTGGACCTGCTGCTTCTGCTTGGCTCGAACAATAGCACAACGCAGCACCGGTCCATGCCGGGAGCTGAAGTTGCAAAAGGAAGAGTACTTTGTTGCGTTGGCTGTGGCTTTGACCATGGAGCTGTCTGGAGGCCTACTTGCTGCTCGTGCTTTCCCGAAATGGGATCCGGAGCATGCAAGGGTGTTTGCGTCGCGGTCCAGGAGCATCATTGATAGCTTTTGGTGCTCATGTCAGCTGTGTGCGGTGGCCTCAGCTGTGTACAGTGGCCACAAGGATGCTTCGGATGACGACTTGATGCAGTTCTTCTCAGCCTGGCCGTCAGAGCAGCGCAAGCGTGTCAGCGGCCTCCTGAGCAGCTGCAGCAAGAAAGGCCTGGGTGCAGGAATTCTCTCTCTTCACTTGCCGAAATTCGGAGGGGATGCTAGATGTTGCTAGCTGCTAGATGCTGCATGAACACAGAGCCTTCTGGCATGATATTTCTCCGAGGTTACCGTGGCTAGAGGGAGTCTCGTGGGATGTCTTGAGTAGGACCCAGGAGGGGCTACCGGCAGAGCACCGCCAAGACATGGAAGGCACTGGCGACATCGATGCAGCTATCGCAGAAGCTGAAGACCAGGTGGCTGCTGAAGGTGCGATGCATCCGGGAGAAGGGAAGCTCGAGCCTCGCTCAAGAGCGAAGGAAAGAAGGCTGCGGCTGCGGCTGAAGCTACAACTTCAGCTGACCAGAAGTGGCTTGGACTGCTTTGAGCAACTTGAGCTTAAGACGGCTGTGAGAAAGAGCCAAGGCCTGCTGAAGCAACTAAGACACTGGACGAGAAGCAGGTGAAGCAGGCAGGGCGCCAGAAACGACTGGGCATTTGACATCCCGGAAGCTTCCAAGGTACACTCCGCCATTCGCTGGGGCAAGCCTGTGGAGGAAATCCAAAAGGCAGGGCCATTCGTAGCGAAGCCAGACAGAGAACATGCGCTCAATGACTGACTCGCCCGCTGCAACGTGTGATTGTGGTAGTACAGTAGTTGGCCAAGTAAGCCGCCCTCGTTTGCAGATTGTGAGCGATCTCGGCATTGACGCTACCATGACAGATGCTGCAGCAGCGGCTTGGTGGCAAGTGCTCCGCAGGAGCACAATTGGGGCCCAGTTCGGGCTTCCTGAAACGTTCATTGCAGGCCGTCGATGGTCAGAATGGCAATCTTGCCTTGCACATCTCTGCGCAGAACGGCCACATGGGGCTGACAAGCTTCCTGCTCGACAGCCGCAACTCTTTTGCAACCTTTATCAACCCTTGCACTTCCCGTATGCCCGTCCACGTCTTGTCGCGTCATGAAAAGCACAGACCTGTCTGCATCCAGCTCATCGGGAGAGCAGCAAAGCCTAAGGTGCCAATGTCAATGCGCAGAATTTCAACGGCCAAACGGCTTTGCATATGAGCGTGGAGTATGAAGCTTGTCATGCATTCTTCTGCATTCAGATGCATGGAAACCACCCAGTGGATGCCCATGAGGCAGTAATCGTTTGATGTACGTGTGCTTATTCGTTGACCATATGGATTTCGTCAAGTTCAGTTTCGACAGCTTGTTTGATTATTGAGAGGGGATCCCAGTACCACTATGCTGGCCGACTCTGGGAGTGCTGACAAACTTTGGGAACCAGGGGCGGGATTGTTCTTGCATCGGGAACCTTAATTGAGAGAGGGTTGCTAGGTGAAATTCCGAGTCGTTTTTTGAATTGAGGGGTGTTTACCAAAGTGAACTCAGCATTTTGCATGTCGCTGGGTCCAAATGTAACATATGTATATATATATATATATAATATATACATACATACACATATACATATACCGATATACCATAATTATGTTGTATGTAATCGTTTTTTCAAGCTATCCCGCAGAACCTATGCAGAGTCGAGCGACTTCAGCCCCTGGCGCAAAAAGCAAGGACATGTACTTCCAGACGAAGCTCCTCCTCGATGCAAAAGCAGACCCCAACCTTGAGAACACCGGTGGCCACAAAGCGCTTACAGGCCATGGGCACATTCATGCAGGAGCATGGCGGCACGTAGGTCCAGGCACATACTGTAGCAGGCAAACCGTCACGGGATGCCATTGAGGAAGTTTGATTTTCGACATGATCGCAGATCTGGTCTTGGCGTCCAAAGCTTAAGGCTTAAGTTAACGGAGGCCTGGAGGGTGCCAAGACCGGCCAAGATGCGTGGGACAACCCGATGAACATCCTCAAAGCGGCCGGCGACACAGAGGTCCCCTGGCCTGGCGTGAGCCGATGACTTTTCGTACCATCGCATTTCGCTGAGCGCTGACGAGATGTCTTTCATCACAAAGCGGTCGCACTCTTGTCGTGTGCGGTGCCTGTCCCATCCAGGAGGAACTCAAGCTTGCCTTCGAAGCTTTGGCAGCTGCGGATGCCAAGGAAAGTCAGTACAGTCGAATGACATGCCGAAGCGAATGTCGTAAGTAGAGTCCATCGCATTTTGGCCGACACTGTTTTGTGCAGAAGCGAGAGGCAAGAGCCAGGAATTTTTTGAGAAGCATTCGAGCGCATCTACTTCTCACTATCAGCCTATCAAGATGCCTGACAAAGTCGCAACTCCAAATCCCCAGCGCTGCTTGCGGCCGTCATTCTCGTTAGTTACAGAGAGGCCGCAGACCCGCAAGATAATGATGGTGACTCACATCAGAAAACCACTGATAGAGAGATCATGTTGTCCCAGGACATGGACCGGGTTGTGCTGGCTCAGACAGGCATGTGCTTCGAGAAGCAATGTTTGATGCGAGTTGCCAGGCTAACACTTCAAACACCACCTACCACATCCGCAGGCATGCGCAAGCGAAAGCAGTGCCCCCAGCACTGGAACGCCGACCGCTTCAAGGACCGGCATCTTGTGCCCATCCGTCCCCACATGCGGGACGCACCACCGCCGGAACCCAGGAGATCATGCAGAAGTTTTGATTTCATCAGCGGAGCCTGTCGGAGTTCTCACAGACGAGCTGGTGACGATTTGCCTGCGGCATGGCTTCAACAACACAGCATTGTCGGATAATCACTGGACAGATAGCCGTAGTTCCGAACGCACACTGAAGCAGGCGACAAGATTAAACACGGCGTGACCGGGCGGGGCACAGACTACTCAGGTTCTGCCAGCCGAGCCAGAGCATGGTCAGAAGCTGAAAATCGAGAATGCTGTCTAGTAGGCATAGACCATCCAGTGGTAAGTTCCAAGATGGAACTTCTGTGCTGAGCACCAGATGGCCAGTGGGCAGCAGGGGCCCGTGAGTGGAGCAGAGAGTGGATCCAAGGATAGGATAGGAATCTCAGATGCAAGCTCAAGCAAAGTGTATTTCTGTGACAGTGTGTTTGCGTTACCTGATTGCTTGATGGCCCAGCCCACGTGCGGTTTTGCCGCCGACCATGACCCATTCCGAACGCCAGGGGCAGCGCGTTAATTTGCTCCAAGACAGCACTCAACGTAATCGAAGTGCATATTCCTTGCAGCCCTGCCTCTGGCAGCAGGCTGCCGCGCAGCCTGTGTTGTACTTGCCTCTGCATTTTTTTACACCAGGCTCCGCCGCTGCGAGTGCTGACTCGCCCGAATTATTTCTGAGCTTCTCCGGCTGCATGAAAATCTTGGCACCTGATTAACGGTACCATACGGTACAACAGCGCATCCCAATCATGGATTTGCTTGGCCGCATTCCCAGAGCAGCTGAAACATTGTGAGTCCCTGCCCAAAGACGCCGGGCTTTGGAAGAAGACGGGCATGCTGTATATTAAGTTGTATACACGAGGCCCTGAATCATCCAATATCAGTCTAAGACAGACGGCTTTGCTCGAGGGATCTCGGATTGGCGACGGGGGCCACGAACATGCCTTCCTCTTCCTTCAAAGAGTCTACGTATCAACTGTACATGTTTGCTGCTTCCGCAGCTGACACTCTCGCTTGAAGTCCGGAGGCAATGCTTGTGAATTCTGCGCAGGCGGCTTCCTGATGACTTGTCTGACAATTGTGAAAGTGCAGCAGGCTGCGTTGGAAGAGAAGGGTTATGCTCGTTTCAACCAGTGCGTGCAGCATTAGCCAGTGCATGACTGGTTCGATCTTCATTGCTTTCTGATGTAATTTCAGAGTCTCAGACTGCTGCACTTAGAGCAGATGGCTTTGCGGACCTTGTGCGGATGTGCTACAAGACCATGACAATAAACAGCAGCAACTCTTTGACGTTCTGCAGCCGTGCAACACCATAGGGTGCATTGAAAAGCGCTGGAACAAGTTTGATCGTTCTGCCCAGGTCTAACTGCCAGCCGACTGGAAGCGGTCCGGGAGGTGTCACATCTTCTTATTATAGTGCTGAGCAGACTCTTGATCGATTGCAATCCGTCTCCAAGTTGTGAGAGTTGAAAGCGATGAATGCTATCCCATAGCAAGCTCAGAAGTGCTCGTGTTTGGGGTTTGCGACTCCTTACGCGACAGCTTCATGTGTAAATTATGCGTGTTCACCTTGCAGGTCCGCATGCCAGCACTTGCGGGCTTGCATTCAGTCGTGGTAGTTCTTCGACTTTCCAGTGCTGATTCATTCATCGTGCGTGGCTGACGCAGACACAGGACCTTCTTCAAGCGCGTGCCAGGCGGGCAGTGCCGGCCCAAGGTAGGATGACGCTTCTATGCGCATGGAAGTTTGGTAGTGCATCGGCTGAGAGCTGGCCCGGCTCGGCTAGAACAGCAACTGAGACACCGGACTACATGAGGCAAGGCCAGGGAAAGGCGGATGGCAGGCTGTGGTTCTGGCCGGCGGATCGTAGGACCTCGTAGGATGTACGTGGACGTACGTCAGCCTTGAGATGCAGGCCGAAGGGCACAGCCCGGGTTTGCAGATGGCAGAAGCGATTGATTCGCCAATGTCCCGCAAGCTTTTGCTCAAGCGGGGGATCATGGCCTTTGGAGCAAACTCGCGGCCACAGCGCGACCTGCAAGGGCTCCTGACGTCGGATCTCGAGCCTTGAAGTAGATGTGTTAGTAACACCGCAGCTGCGGTTTGGGAGGGGGAGTGGCTGGGAAGCCCTTCAAATAGATTACCGCAAGTCGCACCACCACACCAGCCAGCCAACCAACAAACCCACTGTTCCTTTGCAATTTGCACGTCCTGCCCTCGGTGGTGTTGCCATGGAAGGGGCCAAAGTGTACGTGCAAGATGCAAGGCACCTTGTTAAGCTGCCTATTCAAGCCAGCGTCACTGTTATGGTTGATCTTTCTAGTGTTTTTCTGCCAGGGGATCCTGGCAGCGGGGTACTGTCCAAGCTGCTTTGGGCAGTGGCCGCTACAAGGCACACAAGTACGCAAAGGGATCAGGCGGGCTGGCCGGATCGAGCTTCCCGGAAGGTGGCGCTGCAAGGCTGGGAGGAGGATGAGCTCCAGACAAGCCAGACAACTGAGGCAGTTTGCTTTTGACATGGCATTCATGAAACCACCCACCTTTTCGGGTCACAGGTGGACGCCTCCAATATGGAGGGTGGAATGCTGCCATTCCAGAATGCGGACATGCCAAACAATGGCTTCCCAGTCGGGCCCTCTCTGAGGTTTGTGCTGGAGCACACGGCAACTGCATGGAGCATCTCTGAGGACATGACAACGCTGGATCACTTGCATGAGCCAGCGCTGTTGCACAACCTACGTCGGCGATTCTTCTCCCAGGTGGGCCCGCGGAAGTTCAGATAGTGATCAGCCAGAGCTGTTGATTCCAGCTGACACAGCTTGCAACATCCTGGCCCAAATTGGCTTGACCAATCTTAAAGTCAGCTGCCCCATCATGCATTGTTAGTGCAAACATAGGTGCAACAAACACCACAAGCTTCGGACCTTGGTCTTTTAGCCGGGAATCGTGCTCTCACTTGCCATGGGCGGCGCTGTGGGTGGCGCTGTTGCCGCAACACGATGCTGCCAGGCTTGCGATCCTGATCATGACCAGGAGTCCCTCGATATGGACACCTCGACAGAGGAGTTTGTCGCAAGACCCTGGAATGATGAGACACTTATCAAAGAAGGCACCGCCGTAGACTTGGCATGTATACATGTATGTCATTCTGTGCCTTCGTCCTAGGTCTAAGTTGAAAGATGGGCAAGCTTTCTGCTTTCTGAGCTTGTCGGACCAGGCTTGAAACAGGATCAGAGCTTGCTCGACATGCTACAAGGGCAGTGGTATCGAAAAGAAGATGGTCAACCCGTGGGCCAGATTTCTGGAGCACCCAGTCTGAATCGCACATGTCTTTGCGGAAGACTGACATGTCCTTTCGGAGTGACCATTACCCCAGGCATACTTGGTGTGGAATCCTCGGTGGAAGTTTGCAGAAATGATCTCGCCACTCTTTGAGGACCTATCAGGACTCGCGCCGATGCTGGCTCTGCCATTCCCATACGAAGATTATGGGAGTAAGCACCATGAATATCATAAGCTTCATGACGTCGTAGTAATAGTAGCAGCAGCAGCAGCAGGAGTACAGTGGCAGTATCAGTAGCAGTGGCAGTACTAGCAGCAGCAGTAGTACAGTCACAGTGGCAGTAGTAGTAGTAGTAGTAGTAGTAGTAGCAGCAGTCACAGGGTTGGTTGGTGACGCCAGTGTTTTCTTGGTCTGAGTGTGATGTTTTTCGAGTTGTGAGCTGTTTTTACTTGTTGGAGGGGGGGTGCGCTTTTTTTGTGTTTTTCTTGTGTTGGCAATTCATGTCTTGCTGAACGCTGTTATTTGTCGAGTTTGGGGCTGGTTTTGGGTGGGTCTGGGCAAGATCGCATTCTTTTATGGTAGTGGTAGTGGTAGTGGTAGTAGTAGTGGTGGTAGTGATAGTGGTAGTGGTAGTGGTAGCGGTAGCGGTAGCGGTAGCGGTAGCGGTAGCGGTAGCGGTAGAGAGAGAGAGAGAGAGAGAGAGAGAGAGACACAGAGAGAGAGAGAGAGAGAGATCGAGAGGGAGGGCTCAGGGGTTTCGGCTCAGGCGTTTCAGGTCAAGAGGTTTCGGGGTAACGGGTCGAAAGTGGGGCTTTCAGAGGACCAGGCGACGGTGGGCAAAGTGTAGAGGGCTTGAACAGGGGTTTTAGTGGGTGCTCTGTACGAATAGGGGTGCCTTATGTAGGTGCTACTATGAAGTTGCCACGGGCATGTTGTGTTGAAAGATAGCCAGGTTGTGAGCTGCAGTACATCTTGACATCCTGGATGTCGTTGCCAGAGATTAAAAAGGCGCTTCGTCGCCTGGTGATTCCGGAGGGTGAGTGGCCAAATGCCGACGAGCGGCGCCAGCCCTGGACACTTCTGGCAGAGCCCGTAGCAAAGTTGGAAAGCCAGATAGGCCGACAAGGGGCTTCGATTCTGGATTTCGATTCTTCACTGGTGCTGAGAGATGCTTGGGCCGATGCTCTACTCAGCCGACCAATCGCACGTGTTTTTGCAGAGACCCCGAGCATGCTTTCGGACATGTTTGCTTTCGGCCGGCTCCTGGAGCAAAGCAGATTTCGTGGTACGATGTGCTGGCTGGACAGGTTTCGTGAAGTCGCAGCGCATGTTGTTGCGCTCGTGGAACCGGAGACTGTGCAACGCTGCTTCGCGACGCCAAACCAAGAAACTCAGAAACTTCTGTGGGAATCTTGGTGTATTCTAAAAGGACTTGTCGCTGCCCCTGCTTTCTGTAGTATGAGATGACCTTTCACGAAATGTTCTATCAGGGTTTTCTAAGCAAGAAGCAACCAGGAAAGCGTGCGGAAGAAGCAGCCCCAACGCGGAGCGAGAAAACTTGGCGGTTGGGGGGCAGCCGACTGCCTCTGTGAGCTTCTGAGAAAAGGCCTTCCTCGATGGTGCTGGGCTGGCAGCATCCCGCCTTTCCACGACAGCCTGCTCCAGTATATCTTGGAACCAACTTTTCGTCAACACAGTCAACACTTCGAAGACAAAGATGAAGCCCAGGGTAGACTTTGCATCGCTGTAGCTGAGCGCCTCACTCTTGAGGATCTGTGCTACCTGAACTCGTGCGGGCACTCTGCACTCCACTATGCGATCGAATGCGTCCCGGGCTACTATGCCATTCAATGCGTCCCAAGCTTTGCCAACCACCCTTCAATGCAAATCTGGAAAGAGGTGCGGGATGTCATCAAAGATACCATGGTGCAGCGGTTTAGAGCCGAGACAAAACCAGGGGAGAACCTGGACACTGCCTTGCAGAGTCTGCGTAGAGAAGCTCGTGCTTGTGGTCTTGAGGACTACTATGACGACGACGACAATTATTGTCACTTCCATGACGTCGTCGTTTCTTTCGAGGAGCATCTCAGAAGCCTGACAGGGGATGGATGCTTGCCTTCCTTGACACCGGATCGCTGTGCGCCCGCGGACCTTGCAGGGAGGAGGAGGAGTCTACAGTGTCTACAGGGTTAGGGACATAAATGCTGGGAACAGTACTGTTGCTGTGCTGAGAGCCTTTACAGTGCCAGATTGCTAATTTGGACAAGCTAGGGGTATTGACTTTAAGAGCTCCCCTAAACCCTAAACCCTAAAGTCTACACCGTAACACGCAGGTGGGAAGACGAGGTGCGGTTCCCTGTGACTGTAGCTCTTCTCATGTGCATGGGTAGTTTTCTAAAGTAGGGTCCCTTTTTAGGTCCCCAACATAGTACGGCACCCTTATCAAAAGGACAATACATGGGATCCTAATTTAGAGAACTATCCACACGATTATCGGCTTTGATACCAGTCACCTACCGGCCGCAAGGCTTAGATTGTGGCTGGGAAGAGGCCATCAATGCACAATGCACGCCCAAGTTAAGCCCCCCAAATGTCACCTGTTTTGACAAATTGCCTCTGCAACCAGCGCCTTTCAACCCTACGTCCTAAACCCTAAGCCCTTCACGCGCACCCTGACCGAAGCTGTTTGGGGGTTGGACTGGGGTTACGGTTGAGGGAAACGCTAAACCCCTGCCTCCCTGAACCTCTAAGACTCTAAGGGACGTCTGCGGTTTCGGGCCGCGGGTTCGGGGTTTAGGGGTTTAAGGCCTGGGATATGGGTTTGAGATGGGTTGAGGGGTTTAGGGTTTAGGGCCAGGGGATTAGGGTTTAGGGGTTCAGGGTTTAGGGTTTAGGGTTTAGGGTGTAGGGCCGGTGGTTTAGGGCTTCCGAACAGAGGAGGAGCCGCGGGCAGGATGCTTGTTGGGCAGGCTGGCATGGCTGGTCAGAGTCCTGATCCGCAAAAGCTCAGTTCTCCAATACCCAACCTTCAAACCTTTGGGTTCTTATAATTTAGTGGTAATTTGGTTTAACTTTAACCTTTTATTTCCATGGCTTATTGGGGAAGTAAGGCAAAAGAGTTTCTTCAAGGTTCTTCTTGGATTCCTTGTTACAGGTTCCCTAACCGTAAGCCCTAAACCGTTACAAGTGGCTGTACAAGGGTGCGAAAGGAGTTCGGGCTGAGAGTTTAGGGCTTAGATTCGGGTTTGTCCGGTTTCAGAGTCTGTCAGATTGAGGATTCACTACAGCCTTAGTGTGTCTGGCTTGGTTGTAGTGATGAGGATGACAAGCAACAGGAGGGCAACGATGATGACAAAGACCCTTTGCCACGTTCCCAAGCCCCATTCTAGTCTCACCGCCGGTTTGCCTGCAAGGAAGGCCTTTAACAGAACCGGTGCCCCTCGCGGTGTCATCTGTGTTTCGCGTCCCCTCCCCTGTGTTGCCCATTGAAATCGTAACGTGCATTAAACCCTAAGCCCTAATCCCTAAACCCTAAACCCTAATCCCTAAACCTAAACCCTACGAAGGACAATCCCGGATGGTGGACAGACGGCTGGGAGTGGCATCACCATGGACCTGGCTGGGAAGCAGTCATCGGTCCTGCATGGCAGCAGGAAGTATGGCAATGCCATGAGCAAGGCAGTGGCTATGGCCGCCAGTCATATCCTAAATTAAACCCCTAAACCCTAAACCCCTAAACCCTATACCCTAAACCCTTCAACCCTATACCCAAAGCCCTAAACCCTGAACCCTAAACCCTAAAACTAGGGTTTAGGGTTTAGGGCTCAGACTAACTAAGATATCGTAATTGTAGTATACTATACCCCAAAACTCTATTCTAATGAATAATGCTAATTAAAGCCAGAGCCCAGAAAGCGAGGGCCTCCGTCCGAAAGCCCGAGCAGGCAGTTCGTTGCATACAAGGCATAGCATTGTGGAAGGGTTCAGTTTAGGGTTTAGGGCCTAGGGTTAAGGGTTTCGGGAGTGGAGTCAAGTGAGCTGTACCTTGGGGTCTTCCAATTCTTATTATATAGTCTTAAAGGGGTTGCCGGAGAAGGAAGAGAAGAGCTCAAGGCAGTCGATGGGAGTTTCCCTCGTTTCACTCAACAATTTCGCTTCCGGCGAACTTCATCCGGCAATCGAGTGCGTGGTCGGCTAAAAACTGTGCTGCACAGCCGAAAAAGGCCACCGCCGCCACCACCACCGCCCCCACCCCCACCACCACCACCACCGCCACCACCACCACCGCCACCACCACCACCAATACTCCGACCAATGCGAATATCACCACGACGGTGACACTACCACTACCACTGTCACTGACTAACACTCCAGTTGCCACTACCACTACCTGCCGCTACTTCCACTGCTGCTGCTACCGCTACCACGTAGCACCACCACCGCCGCCACCACCACGACGACGACGACCTCTTAGACTGGAAGTAATGCGTGCGCCCAAGCCCGATAGTCGTGTCAGAGGCAGTGCTGGGATAACGTTTTCTTCAGAACCTCGACGGAGACCCTCATGCAAGCTTAGGCTTAGCCGGGTTCGAGCATGAAAAGTAGCACCACAGCACATCCCCCCAACCCAGGACAACTCTACAGTCGAGAGTTTCTTCGCTCTTGTTCAGCCCTATGCAACTTTATTATCTGGGTTGTCTTTTGGGATCTTTTTAATATCCCTTACTATTTTGTAGAGAACCATAGTAGTAAATAATTTTCAGAGGGCTTAAAGGACAACTTAGTTATGCAAGTGTGAGGAGTTGCCACTCTCAACGGTGTACTCCAGTAGACACATGGGTCTTTCTCTAAATCAGGTTCCGTTTTACGGTCATTTTTGTAGGGGTGCCGACCTATAAAATTGGGAGACCGAAACCCTAAACCCTTTAGAGAACTACCCACATCTACTGTATGAGGTATAGTTTCAAGGGAATTGGAGCTTGGTGTCGCACACTTGGAGGTTCATGGGCAGTTATCAGTGGGGAAAAAAGCAGGGTAGCTATAGGTATAACCCATATTAGGGGACGTATAACTAAGTATAACTCCACTTATAACTACCCATGAGCCTCCAAGTAGCCCCAAAGACCTGACATCCAAACCGTACTACAAATGCCCTGGCCCCTGAACCTTGAACCATCTTCAACCCTATTAGCCCTAAACTCAAACAGAAACCGGCGAAGTTCAACTAGATTCCGAGTCTGCAATCCAAAAACTTGAGACTTTCGGAAGAAGACGGCCCTCCAAAACAAGGATCCGGCCAAGGGTTTAGGCCAAAACCCCTAAGCCCTCGATATCCTAAACCCTAAACCCTGAACCCTGAACCCTAAACCCTAAACCCTAAACCCTAAACCCTAAACCCTAAACCCTAAACCCCAAACCCTAAACCCTAAACCCCAAACCCTTATAGGGTTTATAAACCCTAAACCCTTAAAGGGCCCCTCCCCTGCAAGGCTATCCTCCAGGAATCCTCCAGCGAGTCCTCCAGCAGCTCCGTAGCAGAGCGACGCCGTCCTGGGAGGTGCTCTTGAAGGGTACGGGTTAAGGGTTTAGGGCTTGTGGGGTTTAGGGTTTAGGGTATAGGGGTTTAGGGTTTAGGGTTTAGGGTTTAAGGGTGTGGGGTTGAGGGCTTTAGGGTTAAGGGGTTTGGGGTTGAGGGTTTAGGGGTTGAAGGTTCAGGGCTTCGGGGTTTAGGGTTTATAAGGTTTATTAGAACCGGTGGAAAGTTGCAAGTTTACCGAGGATACAATCTACCGACGAGGAGTGCAAGAAGGCCGGGTGAAAGTTTTGAGTTGCAGGTTTGGCTGGGTGTGTCGAGTCCGGGCTCGGCTGAGGTCCACCTAGAGATTGCAGCGGGCTTTGCAGGATTTCGGATTTTGAGTTCAAGATGATTTTGGGTGACTGAACTAGGGATGGTTTTTGCTTTGTAGGGTTTTTGAAAGGGCCTTGGTACTGTGCTTGGTACGGTCATGTCGTTAGAATAGGGATTGGGCTTTAGACTTTAGGCTACTGACTTTCCTCCAGCTGCAACCCTTTTCGAAATCGGAGCCTAGGGAGTCTCGGGTTTAGGGGTTTTTGGCTTCGGGGTTTAGGGCTTAAGGGCTTAGGGTTTTGGGGGTTGGGGGTTTTTGCAACCTTTAGAACCTGGCCAACCATTCGAAGCTTTCTGCAACATGTGGGGGTTTCCGAAAATAGGGGACCCTAATATAGTACCCCAAATAGTAGGATCCTTATTATAAGGACCCCAACATAAGGTACCCCTGATTTTCGGAGACTCCCATGTGTCAAGCACCTTGAAAGGCTTTGGCGGCGCAAGAGGAGCGCGCGCAGGCTGCCACAAAAGCTGTCCAGGACAGGCTTCCATGCGAAGGTGTCTTAGGGTTCTACGGTGTTGCGTTCAGGGTGTGTTTTTCGTATTTGGGATTTGGGATGTGGGATCTATGATTTTCGGTGTTAGTTGGTTTAGCATGATCAGACCTCCCCACGACGGGACGCACAGCATCCGTCAACAATAGCTCCATCCTCATCGAGGACTGCTGTGACCTCCTGAGATCATCCAGATGATGGAGCGAGCCAAGGCGACGCGGACAGCGGCTCATAGGCGAGTGAAGATTTGGCGAAAAGACTGGCCATTGCTGCCTGCAAGAGCTCGAGCTCTTCGAAGGTCATATAGATGAACAAGGTGGGTTTTTAGGCATCTCCTGAACGGCGATTTAGTGGACCCACTTGTTTGGCACTGGAGGAAGATGGGTGCTTTGTGTGCTCGGACCATGGTGGAATCTTCAAGCGTTTTGCGTGCACGAGTACGATTTGCATATCGTCCGACGAATTCCATCCTGATCCTGGATGGGCTGCTTGCGAGCTAGTCGGGACTCCCTTTTCTTGGCATAAATGCAGAGGAGGACCATTAAGCAGCAATCAGAGGCCGGGGCTTAGTTCAAGGAGGCTTCGGGTTAGAAAAGGGCTACATGGGTGGCTGTCCAAATTGGGGTCTCTTTGGGGCTCCCAAACTATAGGGTTCCGCAGTAAGAGTAGAGTTATGCAGGGCTCCCCGAAGGAGCCATACTTTTGGCAGTTGCCAACATAGCTACAGGTGCGTATGACATTGTGAAGGTCCGAGAGAAGCTGCAGTAAGGGTTACATAGGGGCTCCGAAAGATCATCGAAAAAGCCAACAAACATTGTAGAGTGAGTCGATGAATTGGTTCCTCGAAGGAATATCACTCTTGGATTGCGTAGCTCGACATCGTGGAAACACTGCCTTTCATACCAACGATGGGCAGGAGTCGCAGGCGAGTTTCAAGCATCAGCCTCTACGTCAGGTGATCTCAACCTGGACAACCAAGTTTTTAACGGTCGTTGGCGGCTTAGGGCCGGTTGTGTTGAACGGCACGATATTAAAAACAAAAACAGCGCAAGGAGGCGGAGTGGTCTGGCTGGAAGTCCAATAGCGCGTGGTGACGCACCCATATCGCCGATTGCCGCCGTCAGACCAAGCTATGGACGTGACGTCCCTGGCGGAGCAGGTCTGCCGCTTGCGGCCAACGGTCCGGCAACTAGAGGATCGAGAGCAGGAGCGAGCACGCGACCTGCGGTGTTCGGGTTGGCCGAGTCACCTAGCCGAGATGTTTTCAGGGCTGTTGCCCTCCAAAATCCACAACCCTAAACCCTGTATCCTGTCCCCTGTTCACCTGCACTAAACTCCTAAACCCTTTTTGGGAGATTCAGAAATTAGGGACCCTAATCTAGTACAGAACCCTACATAGCAGGATCTTTGCTAAGGCTGAGGACCCCCAACTACTCGTCCGCCTCGATAGCCATAAGTTAGAGCCCCCTAAACCCTAAACTTAACTAAACCCCATATCTTGAGCCCGGAGCCCTAAACCCTGAACCTGAAGCTCCAAACCCGGAGCCCTAAATCCTAAAACTTGAGGATTTCAGCCCTCGAACCTAACCCCTAAACCCTAAACCCTAAACCCTGAACCCTGAACCCTAAACCCTAAACCCTAAACCCCCTACGTATAAACCCTAAACCCTACTACTTCAGGACAGCCTCGCAGAGGCACAGAAGACGAGCTCTGCCCTGGCAGAGAAGGCCATGGGGCCTTCGGGTTGAGGGTACTAGGGTACTGGGGCCTTCGGGTTGAGGGTATTAGGGTATTTAGGGTTTAGGGTTTAGGGTTTAGGGTCTAGGGTTTAGGGTATTCAGGGTATTAGGGTATTTAGGGTATTTAGGGTATTTAGGGTATTTAGGGTATTTAGGCGGGTATTAGGGTATTTAGGGTTTAGGGTTTAGGGTTTAGGGTCTAGGGTATTAGGGTATTTAGGGTTTAGGGTTTAGGGTCTAGGGTTTAGGGTTTAGGGTATTTAGGGTATAGGGTTTGGGGTTTAGGGTATTAGGGACTTCGGGTTGAGGGTATTAGGGCCTTCGGGTTGACGGGGGTTGAGGGTATTAGGGCCTTCGGGTTGAGGGTATCAGGGTTTAGGGTTTGGGGTTAGGGTTTTAGGGTATTTATTAGGGTTTACGGATTCGGCGTTGGGGTGTCGGATTTAGGTTAAGTTTAGTTTAGGGTTTTGGGGGTGTAGAACTCAGGGTTTTGGGTTCATAGGGCTTCAGGTTCAGGTCTTAGTGTTCGGGGTTTAGGGTTTAGAGATGTTCAGGGTTTACGGTTTAGGGTTTTTGGTGTAGGACTTGGGGTGTATGGGGTTTCGGGGGAAAATCGAGCTTAGGGTCTTGTTTGATAGGGTTTTTTAGTTTACAGGCCAGATCTCAACCCATCTCAAACCCTGCTGTACTAAAGCCACGTAGACCCGTAAACGCTCAAGCTTGTAAATCTTCTATCCAAACCTGCGCCCCAATCGACGCAGCCCTGAACCCTCTACCCTCCCGAACTCTATGCGAAACAGCCCTCAACGCCCCCACCCGCCCACACACGAACACACAAGTGCACATTTTCAGGCTGAACTATAAACACGAAGCCCCTAAATACATCCAAAATGCCTATAGACCCCAAACCCCTAACCCCGAAAGCCACAAAAAGATTTTCCAGCCTCTGCCGCTCACGAGGTTGACTCCGTGAAAAAGCAGGCTGAAGAGGCTCAAGCAGAGGCCCCGTCGGTGGTTCTACTCAGGATTTGAGGGTTTGGGGCTTAGGGCTTTCTTTAGGGCTTTAGGGCTTTAGGGTCTGGGTTTAGGGCTTAGGGTTTAGGGTTTGTGGCTTAGGGCTTCGTGTTCAAGTGGCAGGGTCGGCGTAGAGAAATGAAACTGCGTTCAAAGTTGAAAGTTGGGTTCAACTCAAGCCCAACTCCAGGTTGAGCTTCAACTAGTTGCAACTTCCGGGCGAAAGGTTTGTACTTTGTTTGGCCTCCAACCCAAGAACGCGCACAGCCCTGCTGCTCACAGACGTGGTGAACAATCAGGCAAACTATCTTGTTGAGGCTTCGGTGCAGTTTGGGCTTCGGGGTTCCACGATTTTCGGAGGTTTTAAGTTTCGGGTGGACGGGGTTTCGGGGTGTACAGGAGCAGGAAATTTCGCAGTCACTGCGGTTTGCAGTCATACCTGTTGCATTCGAGACGCGTGCTGAACCTGTCTTTTGAGATGCTTCTCTCAGCCCTCGCATACTCCGAGACCCTATTCTAACTATTAAGGGCCTTATTCCCCATGTTACTCGCGGGCATGTTCGGGTCTTCGGAAGCGCAGGCAGCGGTCGCGCAAGAGTCTGTTACGCAAGCTGCAGCTTCCTCAGAGGCGGAGAAGAAGGCTCCGAAGACGCTCTAGTTCACTTAGTTAGTTGAGGGTTTAGGGTTTAGGGTTCACTGAGTTAGGGCTTAAGTGACAGGGTTCAGGGTTTCGGTTCTAGTGCGGCTTGAGACTGCAACTCTTGTGTATCCTTAACCCAATCATCCTGAGCCCCAGAGTACGATGCATTCTTTTCTGGTGGATTTGGGATGTTCTGGGGTTCTAAGCGGTACCTGGCACAGCCTTTAACCCCAAAGCCCAAATGCCAAACCAGGGCCCATCAATCAAAGCAGACTTCCGACTTGCAGGCGGCTGACAAGACGTTGGAGGAGGAGTTGGCAAAGCTTCGTAAGACGTCGGAGGAGGCTGCAATCGGGGAGAGAGGTCTTTGGGGTTGAAGAGAGTCGGAAAGCAGCCACGATGCCTCTCCTTTCTGACCTATAATAATCGGTGTTGCATGTGTGTGTGTGTGTGAGTGTGTGTTTTTTCCTGCTCCGATGGTGGTGGCGACGACGACAGCGATGAGGGAACATCACGATGCGAAGACTACGAGGAGGATGACCCCGGCGACGGCGACGAACTTCTTCCACTGCCACTACCATTGGTACTATTGCCGGTGTTAGGCGACCATGGTATGGGTTTGAGTGTCAGGATTTGGAGCATGCGGATTCACGATGTCGCAAAACCATGAAGCTTCAGCTTCTTTAGTTATGCCCCCCACACCCTCACATGATACTAAAAACTACGCTTGGCATCGGACACGTTGAGCTCGATTCTTTCTTAAACCCGAACGCCTTCAACCGATAATGGTTTGGTGTGAATCGAACTGTCCCAGCCTTCATGGTACAGATGTTCCCAATGATTCCTAGGTAGATGTAGTCACTTCGTGAACTTCAGGCACTAAACCCCAAAACTCCGAAATCTCCACATCACTCTAGGCACTCGGCACTTTCCGTGCACCTGAAGCAGTGGCTCATCAATCTGGCCGTGCATATCATGAACCTCGATATGTCAACGCCCTATCGGATCCCATCGGTGAAGTTTCTAGTGCCCAAGCCCTAAATCAGCGAAGATAACTAGACTGTACACCTGAACCCAAACCGGAAACCCTAGAACCTAAAAGCCTTAAGCCTTAAGCCGTAAACGGCTAAAGGCGCTGGCGGCCGAGCAGCAGCGGGCTCTCGCGGCCGAGAAAGCATTACAGGAGCTGCATCGGGTAGCAGGTGTTGTTGCCTTTTTTGGAGGGTGGGTGAGAGGGGGAGGCGAGGGAGGGGGGGAGGGTTTGTGGTGGTCAGGATCTAGAGCACAAGTGCTTGAATTAGCACTCATTTGGTTCAGGTGGCGAGAAATGGAACAGGCAACCCTAAACCCACAACCCCTATAAACCAACCCTCTAGCCACCGAGCGCCATAAGAAGATGGCTTCTCCCGCTTATAACTTTTAACAGCTGATCGTTCTCATGCTTCCCAGCTGTGGTACCAGAAGGGTGAGTGCGAGGCTAATCCGCTGTATCCGATGTAGACCGGAGCTTTAGAGCCGAGCCTGTGCGACAAAGAGCACAAAGTCTACCACAACTCCCATGTACGTTCGCGGCTCGAAGATTTTTCTCGTCGTGCCGGAGCCCTATTAACCATGCTCCTTACTACTATGGTTTCGTTCCATATGCCCTGAAAGCGGCAAGTTAGTGGGTTAAGGCGGTTAAGCTCCGCAGCAGAGTCCAGACCGAGCACACGGCCAGCCGGTGATCTCACGGCCAGATGCCAGTACCGAAATATCGGCCGCTGAGGTAGCTTAATCATGCTGGAAAAACAGATGCACTTTCAGAAAGTCTCAAAAGGACGATATAACGATTCGCAAACACGGACAACCCTGTTATTCCTTCTACTAACTGTATATAGACCAGCGCTTTCAGCCCAAAGAATCCTGCGAGAATCTTCTGGCAAACAGTAACCCTGAACTCGAAGCCCTATAAGTGAAGCCCTATAAGCCGTAAGCTAAGCCCTAAACAAGTCCTAAACCCCGAAACCTAAATCTTACACCCTAAACCCATAAACCCTACACCCTAAACCCATAGACCACAGAAGCAGGACAGCCTCGAGGAAGCGCAGAGGTCGAGCGTCTCGCTCGCTGAGAAGGCAGGGGAAACGGGCGCATGAAAGTGATTTAGGATTTGGGACGTTTAGATTTTGGGGAAAAGGACCTTGGGAGCAGAAATCCCTGACCCCAAAGCCCCAAGCCACCTTAAACCTACCCGAACCTACCAAAACCTACTCTTTTGTAGGGTCCCTATAAAATCCATATTAATATGAATATTAATATATATATATATATCGGCTGTATAATGCATGTTTATCATAAGAACCTACAAAAAGGTCGGTTATGGTAGCTTAAGGTATATGCCGGAAACCCTAAACCTACGCGTGAACCCAGGTGGAGGCAGCCCAAACAAAGGCTGAGGCCGCAGAGGCTGAGGCTGGGTTGGCTGAGTTTTTGGGTGGTTTGAGGGTTTAGGGTTTGAGGGTTTACGGTTTAGGGTTAGTTTAGGGTTTAGGGTTTGAATTTGAGGCTGAGGGATTAGGGTTTAGTGTTTGAGGGTGGTTGTCTCGTATTCTTCTCTAACCCCAACAGCCTAGACACTGAATCCTGAAACGCATCGTGGAAGCCCCTTACACTCCTCTAAACCCCAAAGCCCAACCCTCCAAGTGAGACCCTCAACTACAAACCAAAACCACCAGAAAAACTACAGCCCCAACACCTAAATTCCACAAAGGCAAGGCGACAACCCATTTGGCCTCCCCATGGGCTTCGTGATGTAGAACCCTTTGAGGAGCTGCTCTAGAATGAGAACAGGACCCTCAAAGGAATCCTTAGACAGACTCAAACAGATCCTGAAACGAGCCCTCAAAGAGCCCGCAAAAGGACCCCTTCAAGGAACCTTTTACAGGAACCCCCTGAGGAGCCCTCAAAGGAACCCTTAGAGGAATCCTTCAAGGAGCCTTGAAAATCTTCGCCCTTAAACCTAGAAACCCTAGAGCCCTAAACCCTGCATGGAGACTTGAGGGAAGCCCTCACAACAGAGACCTTTGAAGGGGCCCTCATAAAGAAAGCCGAAGCACAGACTCTTAGAGGAATCCTTAGGGTCTCTAAAGGAGCCCTTAACGGAAGGGTCCCTCACAGGATCCCCTTAAAGGACCCTAAACTGAGCCCTAAACCCCAAACCAGTACACCCCAACCCCAAACTCCAAATCCCTATAGATTCCCGAAGCGCAGAGCAGGGTAGAACCCTTTAGATCCCTTACAGGACCCCCCCTTATAGGAGCCCTTATAGGATCCCCTAAGGAAGCCTCAAGCGAGCCCCAAAGCATAAAACAGGCAGCCGTAAACCCTGAAGCCCTAAACCCCTAAACCCTAAAATCCTAAACTTAAACCCTAAACTTTAAACCCCCGAACCCTAAAATCCTAAACCCTAAACTTTAAACCCCCGAACCCTAAACCCCAAAGGGTAAACAAACCCTAAACCCTAAACCCTAAACCCTATAAGTCAGGCAGCCATCGCTCAAGAGTCGCTTTCGCACGCTGCCGCCTCCTCGGAGGCTGAGAAGAAGGCGCTTGGAAGTCGGGTTCCCTTCAAGGGCAAGGGGGTTTAGGGTTTAGGGTTTAGGGTGTAGGGGCCTGAAAGGGCTTTGGGGGTTTAGGGGTTTACGGGGTTTAGGGGGTTTAGGGGGTTTAGGGTTTAGGGTCTAATGTAGGGGCTTTTTAAAATTAGATTTGGGTTTTTGGGGGTTCCGTTAAAGGGACCCTTAAAAGGGATACTATAAGGGCTACTATAACGGTTTAGGGGCCTTAAAAAAATAGAATTGGGTTGCTTTAAAGGGTCCCTTAAAATTAATTTGAGGGTTCCGTTAAGAGTCTTCTTATGCAGGCCGCAGGCCAGAGCCTGGAGGATGAACTCGCGAAGCTACGAAAGGAGTCAGAGGAGGCCCCGGCGCTGCGCTTTTGTTGGGCACTGGGCCCTTCAGGCCTTTCATACTTGGGGGATCATGGGGGCTCAGCAACAAGGAAACTATCGGTATACATAAGGCATCTACACGCATATCGTTGCTTATAATTCCATTTAAAGTACTTATAACTTTACTTATCAAGTCCCAGGATCCTCCATAGGGGTTGTATCGGAGTTGCTGCAACTGTTCAGGGGTGTGGGGTGTTGGGGTTCGGGGTTTAGGGCCCTTTTTCACATCCTCATATCAGCTGGTTTGTAGGCTTTCAAGTTCATGTTCTGTATCTGTTTACGATCTGGGTACTGATTCAACTTTGAGAGGCAAGAAGCCATGGCTCGAGTAGCAGAGCAGGCGACATGTAACCTTCGTGTAGTAGTATGACCCCTGGACATTCCCAAAGAGGCTAAGAGTTCCCTGGGAGAGGGGCTATGTAGGTCTGTCATTTCCGGGTTGGAGATAGTCTCATTGCACACATACATCCGTACATTGTACATACATGCATAGCACCCGTCTAGCCGGTGGGTTCTGAATCCTTCAACTGTTGGGATCGACATGTATTTCGAGGTTCTCATGTGACTCAACCGGAAAAGCTTTTGTGCTGCAGGCTTGTCGATAGACATGCAGCTCTTGCAGAGTGCAAACAGTGCACGCACGGCCGGCTGCGCTTGCACAGCCATCACACAAGATTCACAAGATGTGGAACACATATACTGTAAGTGGGGAGAAACTCTGAACGCAGCGTAAAATGCATCCCACAAACCGCGAAGCTCACTTCAGAAATTGCGTGAAGTTCAGCCATCCGCACACAGAGAAGACAAAAAGGTTCAGACACGTTCGTACATGACCCTACGCCCTAAGCCCTAAGCCGTGTCTACTCTCTACGTTGCAGTGAACAACTTTCGCACACTGGTTCCGAAACTAGACACCCTGAACCCTAAACCCGATAAACTAAACCGCAAAGTCCTAACCTACAGGATTTCCTTACACCACCCCCGAAAGGAGATCGGCAAGCTCCGTGAGCAGCTTCGGAAGATGGAGGAAACGGACAAGCAGGCAGATTACTTTATAGGGCTTCCGAGTTTGTTGAGGGCTTGATGGGGAAATAATCAGGATTACACAAAGTCTTCTTGTGATAGTTGTATATACTGCTTGTTATACCGGTATAGCGGTTTTGCAAGGGTTTGTCCAAGGGTTTAGGGGATTAGCGTTTAGGATTTAGGTCTAGGACAAAAAAGGTTTCAGGTTATGCTGCTAGTAGCAAGATGCATGAAGTCTGGTGTTTTCCTTGAATTAATAAGAGTTTGAAACGGCTGCCTGTAAGAAGATCGTGTCCGTCCAGAGTCTAGAGTCCGTTGAATCCCTAAAATATCGCCGCCTCAATCATTAGAATGTGGTTTTAGGGCCCATTGTACTATAATTATAATAAGGTACGCCCAAAACCTTATTCTAATTGTTATTAAAATTTTTAGTATAATGGGCTTTAAAATTCTATTCTAATCATTAAGGCCCCTACAGTACCTGTCGCGGTTTGCTCTTGCCTTGAAGCCTTGACTCTGCTCACAAAGACCAGGGCCAGGGCCCAAAACCTCTGAAGTCCTAGATGCAACCGCGCCCTAACGCCTAATATAGAAGCCTAAATAACTGCCAATATATATATATATATATATATTTTTTTTTTGGGGGGGGTCCTTATTTTGACTATATAGTATAATGAACCTCAAAACCCTGTTCTACTTATTAAGGCCCGTACATTACGGCATTTAGGTTCCAGGGCCTTGGGCTTCGGGATCTACAGGTTCGGCGTGGAGGCTTGGAGTTTGGGCTTTCGGGCGCCCCGCACCGGCAACGTACGTTCCTGACCTAAACCCTTTTTCAGCGCTCCACCCTGAGCCGTTCCATCCCTAAACTTTTTTTCAACCGTTGAACTCTTTGCCAACCCTGCAATATTCTATGTATGTTGACTTCAGACAAAACGTGTCTAGAATCAGGCTCTAGCTCCTCGAGCCCTGCTGCCGAGGCAGCTACAGCCGCCTCGGAGAAGGAAGCCGAAGCAAAGAAGGAGAAGGAGAAGGAGCTGGATCAGCAGAAGGCATTAAGTGGGAAGTCGGGCTCCGGGTGTCCGGGTTAGGGGCTTGGGGTTAAAAATTTAGGCTTTAGGGGTTTCGGGTTTAGGGTTTATCGAGTTTAGGGGCCCAGAGTTTACTAGGGTTTCCCGTTTTGGGATTCCAGCGTCTAGGGCCGGTTGTGGGTTGAAAGCTGAGAAAGCCACCAGAACTTCTTCGAGCGGGGCTTAGGGCTTTGGGGTCAGCGCTGGGAGTTATAGATTTCAGGGTTTAGGGTTTAGATAGAAATTCGTAGACCCTAGAATAGATAGTAGGATGCATCTTCTGAGGACCCTTCAGCAAGACAGCCCTAGTTGACACTTTTAAGAACCTATCCAGACCGAAGCTCGGTCGTTGCGATTGCGATCCGAATACGTAGCAACGGCGTACAAGTAACACCTGAACTAAGTCTTAAACCCTAGACCCTAAACCCTAAATCCTAAATCCTAAACCCTAAACCCTATAAATCCTAAATTCTAAAGCCTATAGCTTATAAATCCTAAGCCATGCTTAGCCCCAAGACATCGAGAGGTCGATCTCGAAGAGCTTCGCAAGCGCTTGGCCGATGCCGAAGCCAAAGACGAGACACTGAAGAAGCCACTTGGGCAGTGTTACGTAGGGCTCTGTCAGGGCTCTATAAGGATTATTGTAAGGTTGCCATACAGGTCCTATAAGGACATAAGGCATAAGGTACTGTAAGGCCTTTGCGTTTAGGGTCTAGGGTTTACTGTACCATGGCAGTCTGAATCCTAAAAACCAACACCTGAGGTTCGCGGCTCGGGGATTGGAGTCTACGGATTCTGTTGAGGTGGGTTTCGGAAGTTTAGGGCTTATACTGAGGGTTGGCATCGTACGTGACGTAGACAGCGCCATGAAATAGTTCAGGGTTTCGGTGTTTGTTTGAATCATGGGTACCTTCACGGATTCTGAGGTGTCTGTTGAAGACCCTTTTTTCCTGCACCAACCTCCCGAGCTCCCTAATTCAAAACCCCATTCCCGAAGGCTTAACTAACGTACTCCTGTAGTGTAGGCTTCAGTCTTAAAGTACTCAGTAATGTAGAGACTTTAAAGCGCAAACATATTAGTCTTAAAGTAGTCGGTAGAGTCGGTATGTAGATACTTTAAAGGGCCAACTTACATTCAGGCACATGCACCCTGAGGGATTGTCAGGTGTCGAATCGTGAGCCGCAACACTCCAGCATCCTACACCCCAAGCCATGAAACCGTAAAGCCTGAACCGTTAAACCTCCAACCCCAAAGCCCTAAAGCCTTACCGTAACAACCCGAAGCACGTAAAATTAACCCTGAAACCCTAAATCCGAAACCCTGTAAGCTTTTATGTAACTTTCAAAACCCCTGAATCCAGAAAGCGCTAAGATCCTGAAGCTTTCAAGCTGAAGCCAGTAATTCTGTGCCCGAGTTTTGCTCTTCTTCTGCAGGGAACCCTAAACCCTAAACCCCTAAACCTTAAACCCTAAACCCTAAACCCTACACCCTAAACCCCTAAACCTTAAACCCTAAACCCGGGGCTAAAAGAAAAAACCAAACCCGATGTTTGATCTTCTTCTGCAGGGAAGCAAGCGATGCAAAAGAGCTGCAGGAGAAGGCCATGCAAGAGATGCGCCAGAGGCGGGCTGCCACTAAGAGAATCAAATGGGCTCCTTTAGTTGGATGCAGGTATTGTAGGAGCCTGAATAATTACCTAGACTATTTTGGGGGCTCCTCCTTATAATTAGAGCATAATATACCCCGAAGCCCTATTCTAAGTATTAAGGCCCCTACATTAGGTGTGGTAATCCCCAAACAAGAGTCCTTATTTAAGGGATCCGCATCCCACCGTTTGAATTTGAGGCCTCCAATCCAAGAGAAAGGGCTTTCAGGGCTACATGTAACGTTGAGGAGTTGAGGGTCTTGGTGTAGGTTTATGGTTTATGGACGATTTGGGGTTTCAGATTTCGGGTATAGGGTGCATGGTTTGGGTTGGGAGTTTCGTTCGTATCTGAGCAGGCATATCTGTGTGTGGTATGTAACCATATACCATATGTGTATATGTGTGCATCCATACAATGTAGAGGCAATGTCGCTTCTATATGTGTCTGGTGTACAAGTGTACATGGGCAGGATGCAGCCACGCACCTGCCTGATTTTGTGCTAAAGCCCTGTAACGGTCCTCATCAAGGCTTTATGCTGCACTCCTTGGTACAAAGCTTTGTGCAACAAAACACATCCAAAGCAAGATGCTCATAAACAAACCTTGAAGCCTACACCCCAAATCCTAAAAACCATGGAAACCCTAAAACCAAACCCCTAAACAACCCTAAGCTTTAACCCCGAAACAACCCTAAACCCTAACCTTACCGAACCCTCCTGCAGGCTCGAGGAGCTGTCTGGGCTGAGCGACGCAGCTGCGAAAGGCGAGGAGGCTGCTACAAGCCACCTGGCCTTCCGGGTTCAGGGTTTCAATTAGGCTTTATAATCAGCAGTGTCTATAGGATTTATGATGGGGTTTAGATGAGGTTTTGGGTTTAGTAGCGTTTGGGGGTTTAGGGTTTGACGATGTTCAGGGTTTAAATAGTGATAACTAGTCCAGGGTTTAGTAATAGTAGGGTTCGTGGTTCAGGATTTAGGGTTTGGCCTCCAGGTGGTTTTGAAAGGTTGAGGGCTTTAGGGTTTTAGCAATTGGGATTCATTCAGGGCTGAGTAGGGTTTGGGGCTCCAGGGTTTCAGGGTCCGACGACAGACCGATAAGGGTTCAGGGTTTGGGGTTCCGGGTTTAGAAACTCGGGCTAGGGTTTGGGGAACCCAAATAAACCCAACACCCCAACACCCTGCCCTCGTTCTTGCAACTTTCAGCGCTAGAACGGGTGCTCATCTAAGGATGCCTCAAGGACGTCGAGGCTTTGCAAAGCAAGCTGGAGGAGGAGACCCTTTGGCCTGACATAGAGGAGCATTTTCTCGAAGGGTTCCTGTAAGCGTTCCTAGGGCGGTTCAGGGGTTTGTGTTCCTTATTCTTGGGGTTTTGCGTTGGATTTTGTTGTTCCTCTTTTTGCGGCTCTACACCCCTGGTGTTCAGAGCCTGAGGGCTTGAGGTTATAGTTGTAGTATACATAAGACACATAGTTACTTTCGAGTTCTGATACCCCACCCTAAGCCGAAAGACGTAGACTCTGATCCCTAGATCCTCAGTAGTTGCACGCAATCACATACAATCCTGCTTGATGAGTCCTTTGACCCTAAACTGGTCGGCTGTTGAGGACAATTGTTTCTGCAACGCTTCCACACACGAATATGAGCATGATGTTTGTGCACGCCACCGTAAAATCTCAGTTTGAAAGACGGAAACTACACTGGTAATTGGAACTTGTCAGGAAATGCTGCTTAAATCCATGTATGCCAACTTCTATCAAGAAATGCACGAAAGGCGCATGTACGAAAGTTACGCACCTGTCCCGCGACGGCCAAGGGCCAAACGGAGGAGTCAGCAGGACAGGGCAGGGTCCACCGTTATGTGGCGTTGCTTCGGCACGCAGCGGTGGCCCTGCAGCGTAGTGAGATTCCCTTGGTAGGGGAGGCCTTGCATTGCAGAAGCAGCAGCAGCGGCAGCTTTTTAGCAGCGTGTTGTTGCAGGAGACTGTAGCGGCGTATTCTGTTTTCATGCAATTCGAATGACCGGCCTGCATGTGTGATGCTCGAACTTGGGACACCTGCACCTTTTCTGTGCGCTGCATGAAGTTGGGTGGGTTGCAAAGGAGAAATATTTTCCTTGCTATCGCTCTGCAAAGTACGGCTTTTGGGTGTCTGGCTGCGGAAGTTCCAGCAGAAAAACTCGTTGCTGAACAAGTTCGCCCCGTTCTTGCAGCATGATGAGTTGGAACGAGATCAGGCCTTGGGCATGGCTTGAATCATTACAAATAATATCAGTACCTCGACTAGTAGGCGGAAATTGCCGGACTGTTGCAACTGCTTCACTGTTGTACTGGCAGTGACTGTGCAGGGAGGCTCTTCGTGACCACATGTCCTGGTGCCAGCACACCGGCGGACAAGCGTTCATCGCTGGCTTGGAAAGTTTCGGCCTCATGTTCGCATCGTTTAGCCAAGAATAACCAACAGCCCATGCGTTGTTCAAGAACTCCCTGTGCCCAGATCCGGCAGAGGGCACGAGGTGGAAGGGCCTGCTCAGCGAGCCAGCCCAGCAATGCCTGAAGTTCGCAGAGGACCTCATGCGTTCTTCCAAGAGTTCAAAAAAGTCTGTGCACGTGCGGGCAGTTCACTTCCGTAGGTCAGTCCCACTATGTCCCACTATGCAGGGGCGACCGAGACTTCATCGGCCGTAAACCACTTCAACCCTCAAGATTGAAAAGTTTTAAACCCCAATTATAAACCCCGATTCGGAGCAACTATTTTGTAAGCGTGAAAGGACGCTTTGTTCAAGACCGAGTTCGATGGAGCGATCAAAACAGCCTTTGGATGAGTAGTTGTACCATGCAGATGTGAAGAGCTGCTTCGAGAAGTGCAGGGACAAATCCGAGGAGGAGCAGGCAGCCTCAGCATCGGCAGCGGCTGGTGGTGTGGTCGCAATGTGGGCCGATGGCGAGCCTCCGGAGGTGTTCACCCTGGGCTCACAGGCATGCACAGGGGATTTCACTCTCGACGACGAGCGGGAGAACCTCGTGCGTGAGGCAGAGCAGGCTGCGCGTGAGAGTGTGTTAGTATGTTGAACCTGCACTTTCTTGCCCTGCGGTTCGTTTGCTGAACGAAGTGATCGACAAGCTGAAAGCCAGCCCTGTGGCATTGACGAAGGGCGACGAGCACAGCAGTGTTCTGATATGGTACGATGTCGAGGCGTCCGGCGAGCAAAAGAGCGATCCCAGGCGCCTGAGCACGCCGCTGCGAAAGGTGCACTGGACCAACTCGCTGCAGGCGGTGATGATCGCAAGATCTGGCCAGGCGGTGGGCACGACTGACTCGGACTTTGAGGTTGCTGCGCCGGATCCTCTAGCGATATCTTCCTGTTTTTCAGCGACACGTGTGACTTCACTTCCTCCTTTTCACATGCCTTTACGCCGTGAGGTGGCATGCATATCAAAACCTTGTTCGTGGTGCATGTCGGGCCATCTGCGGAGCAGGGGTGTGTTCAGCTTGCAAGCTGTGGAGCAGATCAGGTCGCGACGACCAACCTGGAGCAAATGTCCGCGATCGTGGAAGTCAGAGCAAACTTGAAGCACAAGGATTCCACAAGCTCCAATGTGTTTGCAGGATGTAGCAAAGTCCGACCATTCCCTATGCTCGACGGAGCCATGTGGCGCTTCCTCGGCGACGCAAGCGTGGCTGACGTTCGGTGCCGCTCTGAGCTGCAGGCAGAAGAGGATGGCAGGCTGAGCCGATGAATTACAATTATAATGACAAGGCAATGTTTCCATGCTGGTGGAGGAGCTCATTTACCGGTTCAACCCGCAAAGCTGTCATCAACTTGTGCGCAAGCCGTCCATCCTTTCTGCCTGTCGTGGAGCAGTACATTCCCACGGTCTCCATATGCCATGGCTCGGAGCATGCTGCATGGTTGAAAAGCTCCCTGCAGAAGCTTGTTTTCACAGTTTTTGAATCCTGGCTCCGTCGTGTTTTTTGGCCGGCTCTGAAGCAGCTCTTGATGCAAGATGCGCAGGAGGAGCACCTTGGCGAAGGAGGAGAGCCTGAAGGAGCCCCGGCTGCCACTGGGAAGCGCGCCAAGAAGCCGACAGCCAAGGCTAAGCGGATCCTTGCACATTTCCGTGCGTGTTAGATTCCTGGTTGTAGCGTGACTACCACCGTTTGTTTTCAGGAGACAGCGGACTCCTTGGATGAGGCTGAGGACGAGGGCCTGTGATTTCCTGATTTCGCTTCACTCTTACGGCAATTGATGATGATCTAATTTCGCGGCATCGCCGAGAACTTTGCAGAGGCTTGAGCATGGAGCTCAAGCCTTGAAGCCGAGTTCACTTCACACACTGTGTTTTCCAGCGACACGTGTCAGTTTGGAGGGCCATCCTTAGCTCACAGCAGGCAGCTTCCGCCGTAAACCCTCAACCAGAATCCTTTGAATGCATGTTGCAAGCACTTAAGAGTAGTCATGCGAACGCACGTCCCGCTAGTTGCACAGGCTCTTTTGGGCGATAGGTTCTATAGCTGTCCAGGCCTTATTGGTTGTGCTGTTTGTATGTACCGCGCCGATGTGCCAAAGCGGGGATGTCAACGATGCACACCTCGTGCCTTTAACCAGTGTGGCCGGTGCATTTTCTTTCAACTAGTCTTGCAGAGCCTCTCCAACGCCGGAATGCCCGCCGAATCACGACGGCCTGGCACGGCGGCTGACAGAAACCAAAACTACCAGTCAGAAGATCGGTCTACAAGTTCTGTTGCAGCCAGGTAGCAGAGTCTAGCAAGAATCTGGAATGTTCGCTTGCGTGTTGAAGTTGAACCCATGGGTCACAGGTGGTGGACTTGAAGTGAAGCCAAATCCAAACAGACCATGTGCATGATGAAATCCCACAAACGGGCATTGGTATGGAACAGCACTTGGAGGCCGCGATGCCAGTGATGCCATTGACGGCTTCCGTTGAAGAGGCATCCAAGGAAGCGCAAAGAGCGATACGGCACATGTTTGACTGCTTGGCCAGGCGAGGCCCGGCTTGCACGAGGCGAGCTGGGAGTTGTGACGATAAGCAAAACGGCATTGAACATAATTGCTCGAGGCCGCGATGCCTCCTTCGCTTGAAGAGGCATAACAAGTGCAAAAAAGGGATACGCCGAGTGTTTGACTGCTTGATCTGGCGGCGCACGGCGTGGGCGAGGCGAGCTGGTAGTTGTGACGGTAAGCAAAACGGCATGCGACATGATTGTTCGAGGCCGAGATGCCGTTGACGGCTTCGGTTGAAGAGGCTTAGCAAGTGCAAACAAGGATACGTCGCACGTTTGACTGCTTGGTCTGGCGGGGCCTGGTAGTTGTGACGATCAGCAAAACGGCATGTAACATGACGGTTCGAGTGCCGGTGAAGAGGCTTAACAAGTGCAACAGTGACACGCCTCATGTTTGACTGTTTGGTCCGGCGGGCCCGGCTTGGACGAGGCGAGCAGGGAATTGTGACGATGAGCAAAACGGCATTGAGCATGATTGCTCCAGGCCGCGAGGCCTCCTTCACTTGAAGAGGCATAACAAGTGCAAAAGGGGGATACGGCGCATGTTTGACTGTTCGGTCAGGCGGGGTCCGGCTTGGACGAGGCGAGCTGGGAGTTGTGACGACTCGGCATGCAAGCTGATTGCTGGAGGCCGCTGAGATACCATTGACTGAAGCTGCAGTTGAAGGAAGAGGCATAACAAATGCAAAAAAAGATACGGCGCATGGTTGACTGTGCTCAAACATTCATTTCCATAAGCGTGCTGGCTCAACGTGTTGGCTCAAACACATCGGTCCGTTCAGATAAACGTTGTGTTTGAGTTGGCAGCTGGCATGCATTTGGGCGGTTGTTATTATAGGACTGCATTGGATGGGTTTCACAACTCGCTTGAGTCGTCATGCATTGGACTTAGACAGCTTTTCCTGCCAATTTCCAACATTTGATTTCTGACCGTGGCGCGCACAAACATCATTCTTATATTCCAATGGTTCGTGTGTGGAAGTGTCGCAACAAATTTTTCAGTAGTTCTTGACAGCCGACCAGTAAACGACCGAACGGTTCGAGCGGCGATCATACACTCTGAAGCCTACCGGCGGCCCCCCCGAAGTAGCCCTAACTGCTCTCACACCATACCCATAGGATCCCACCGGAACACTGTTTAGTGAAAATCCTTCCTCACGTCTCCCGCTCCTCCTTGAGCACCCATGATAGCAATAGCTGAAGAAACCTAAGCCCTCAGACCCAAGCATGATGAGCGCTCATCTCTACATATTCGCGCAGAAGCTCATGAGGCCTGAAGGACAGTTCCTGAGACTTCGTGGGGCTTGTTATTATGGGTTGAGGCAAGTGTCGTTCTTCTTCACGGAAGGGTTATCGAGCTCTCTATTCACACAGTATATGGTTTAAGGTGCTTTTTTTAAAGACGACCCTTTATTAACCTTAAACCTCAAACCTTAAACCTTAGACCCTAGACCCTGCACCATAAACCCAGAAAAAACTTTAATTTCTGCGACAGCTTAGGGTGGGCGCCGTGCGCCTGCGCGTGGACGGCGGCTTCCGTGCGCTCCTTCAACGCTCCGAGGAATGGCGGCGGTTTTTTCTGTGTACTAGTAGAGTCAGTAGAGCTCCAGTTACCTGACTGATGGGTTTATGGGTTACATAATAAGATATTATATGGTTTTTTGCAATATAAGTAATTGGAGCCTAGGGTACCACCATGGCTTGTAAGGTTTGTAGATATGTATAGGTTTTAGGGGTGTTGTACCTATCATGTGGGAATATTTTTTGGGACCGTTTCCATAGTTTTTTGATGTTTCCAAGCTTAGGGTTTCAGGTTGAATCAGTGAAGGCTCAGGTTAGAGCTTAAGGTTTTGAGACAGTACCCAGAAGATGTGATGTTTCTATGGCCTCATCTGAGGGACGCCAGTACAACAAATCCGAGTTACAAGAACGCGTATCAAATCCTCATTAAAAGATGTCGAATCCTGATGCCATCCTTGTAACCCCGCATCAAGCCTTATCACAAAGTTATAAGACCGTTACCCCTGAACGCAAATGTAAACAAGGGCATCCGTAGGAATACACCCGTATTCGTTAAGCTACAAAGAGCTTATAATTACAGTTCGGTGCAGATCCCTGTATACTTGAGCGCTGTTCGGCCCTTACGGACCAGGTTTCTTAAAAATCACGGTGCTGCAAAAAGCTGCGTATCATCTTTCAACCTTATAGCTCCATTCAAAACCTGAGGCTTCAAGCACTCACGTCGATAGGCTTGGGCGTAAGGACCATGCTACATGAGGCAGTTGGGCTCCTTGGGACGTATTCCTAAACCCTGAAGCCTAATATTAAGCCCCTACGACAGCTCTGCAGGCAGAGAAGTGGCTGCGCGAGAACGTGGCGGCATGGCTGCCTCTACGGTTTTGTTCGAGTATTGCTTGTGCTTGCGTGCCTTCGACTGGCTTTCAGGGGTCAGGCAGTACCCGAACACCCCAAACTGGCAAGCCCCTGACGTTGAATCTACAGGGCTTTGTCAGGTATGGTTTAACCAGTGATTCTTTTTGAGGGTTTTGGCTTTGGGGCCTTCTTCAGGTTTATTCAAGGTCTTGCGGTGCTGATCTCAGCGGGTCATGAGGACACCGTGGCCGATGGCGTGTCCAACGCGTTCCTCCGCTTGCTGGACAAGTCTTCCGAGAAGCTGAGCCACAGAGTCGAGAAGCTGGAGAAGGCTGGTTGCTCGAAGATTTAGGTTTTACTATGGCTATTATAGGGGCCTACTTAATTTGAGAATGTCAGTAAGTATGAGTAAACTACTATTTAGTAAACATCAGTAAATACTAATTAGTAAATATTCGCAAATATCAATACAAGTATAGTTATCGCATAATGTACTCAGAAACCCTGTGCTCATCATGGGGGCCCCGGTGTAAGGATGGAGCTTTGTGTGTCTGTCGTCATTCCCAGGTGAGTTTATGTTCGGCTGGAAGCATTTTGGAGACTGTTCAGGAGATTTGAGCCTTAAGCCCTAAACCCCTAAACCCTAAACAGCCCTACAGCCCTAAAGCCCTGAACCCTAAACCACTATTTTGAGAATATGGACCCTTTAAGCTTGAAGGGATCCTCGAATGAGCTTCCATGTAATAGCCTTAACCCCGATACCCAAACCGAGTGCATAAGACCAGTCGTAAGACCGACTTCCAGACCTACAACTCGTCTGGGCCGAAGTTTGTGGGAGAAGACTGACATGGGTAGCTCTCCAAGTAGGGGTCCCTTATAGGGTCCCGGTCCATTTATCAATTAGGGCCGTATTCTTGGGACTTCAAATTGACCCTTATTGGAGAAGTGCTTGAATCCAACGCCTGAAGCCTTAAGCACCAAAGCACGGACCCAAAGGCCCTTGCGCCAATCGACGGACCCGTAGAGAACCCCACGAAGGAGCGGTTATATGGGAGTTTCCGAAAATTAGGGGGTACCTTATTTTGGGGTCCTTATAATAAGGATCCTATTATTTGGGGTACTATATTAGGGTCCCCTATTTTCGGAAACCCCCATATAGAAACCACTGGTTGAAGGACTCCTAACTCCTTAAACCCCAAACTCAAACCCAGAGCCCCCGTGGGAACCTTTGAATTGAAGAACAACCCAAACGCCTCAGCCTGACCCTAAGCCCTAAACCCTAAACCCCGAACCCAAAACCCAAAACCCTAAACCCAAAGCCGTGCTGACTCCTTGGCCAGACGATGGGTGGTGAGTGATCGAGCCGGCGATCCGCAGGTTTGCAGTGTGAAACGCAGGTCTCAGGGGTTCCTACAAGGATTCCGGAATCCTATACGGGCTTCTGTAAGGAATCGAATCCGACAACGGTTTAGTGGTACGGTAGGTTTGGATGTCGGGTTTAGGGCAATTTTAGTTTAATCGGGGCTTAACGCTTGGACGTTGTAATGTATCTTTCCAGTATGCTATGCTTCCAGCAGCAGGGGAAAATCCTCGCGCACATAGCAGCAGATGCAGCAGTACCAGCCACAGCAGGTAGGAGGAGTCGTAGTAATAGTAGTAGTAGTAGTCGTCGTCGTCGTCGTCGTCGTCGTCGTCGTCGTCGTCGTCGTAGTCGTAGTAGTCGTAGTAGTCGTCGTAGTCATCGTAGTCGTCGTTGTCGTAGTAAGTAGTAGTCGTAGTAGTCGTAGTAGTCGTCGTCGTCGCCGTCGTCGTCGTAGTAGTAGTTGTAGTAGTAGTAGTAGTAGTAGTAGTAGTAGCAGTGGTAGTAGTAGTAGTAGAAGTCGTAGTAGTAGCAGTCGTCGTAGTCGTCGTCGTCGTCGTAGTAGTAGTAGTAGTAGTTGTTGTTGTTGTAGCAGTAGTAG